GCAGATGATCTCTGTGTTGAAGTACATTCAAGGTGGGCCTTCCCTCCTTCCCTTCCTTCCTTCTTTCCTTCCTTCTACAATTATTGAACATTTGCTCTGTGCCAGGCACCATGCTGGACCCTGGAGCTTAGTGGGCCCTGTTACATGAAGTCTGTAATCTAATAGATGAGATCAGCAAGAAAACCAAAGGTTAAAGTACTTGCAGTTAGAGCTCTGTGGAGGGGGTCTATGGGCAGTTCTGTGAGACTAGGGATGAACTGTCTGGGGTTATGTCATTCAGCTGACTTTGAAGGATAAGTAGGAGTTAGCTAAGAGAGGGAGGTATGACACAGACCTAGGAGGAAAAACAGAGCAGATAATGAGATAGCCTTGTGGTTAGCCTGCATGACTGGGATGAGCATAACAGTGAGATCTGCCTGGAATTTTCTATCCCTGGTCAATCACCATCAATGTCATATACAACATTGTTACATAGATATTTCAAAATCTATAAGTTATCTGACAGACCTCAGACTACTTTCTCAAGTAAGTGCCGAAAATGTCAGTTTCATAGTAAAATAAAAGCCGATTGCATGTTTTTGATCTCCATGAAAGCCAGTAGAAATGATTTATTGGTTTTTTTAAAAGAAAAATTTATTTTTAAATGCCACTTTTTTTTGCATATTTGATCTCCATGAAAGCCAGTAGAAATGATTTATTGGTTTTTTTAAAAGAAAAATTTATTTTTAAATGCCACTTTTTTTTGCATGCAACTTGTTAGTAGATATGGAGTTCTCACATATCCCAAATGCACTTCTATTTACAAATGTTAACAGTTTTGAAGAGAATCAATAGAATAATCAGAAAACTCATGAAAAGATGACAAAAGAGCAATACAATTCCATATCTTGCCATCAGTGTCATTTTTTTTTTAATGTTCCAATTTTGTAACTTGTCCCTTGTTTCTTGAGTTCCCATGTTCCTCAATGGTTTGTTTCTGTTTTGTTTTTAATGCCATAAAAATCGAAGTTAACACACATAAATAAAGAAATATACTCTGAACACAGCTAAGGTAATACAGAAACTCAAAGTGAGGAAAGCATGTGTGAGGGGCTTTGGTGTGGTTTCTGTCAACCCATGTGTGATGACATCACCATTGTATTTGTGCTCATGCCCACACTCCAGGAGGAGGTCTGTTTGGGATTGAATGTGTGGAGGATGTTTACTCCTCCCAACAAACTGCCTTTCTCTCTGTAATGTGGATATTAGGAAGCTTCTGGCCATAGACCTTGACCCAGGTTTTTTTTCCATTTCATCTGCCACCTTCTTTCCATTTTGAAAACAAAATTCCAGAGCATCTGTGACTTTCCTGGAAACTGTTTAAAATCCTCTGTGGAAGTAGAGAGGTTAAAAATAATGATAAGAACAAAGAACTATGGTTTATTACAGAAATGCAAAAGCGATATAAATGTGAGCTCTGGATTTCCAAGTCCACCCCGAAGGAGGAAAGCCATCAAGGTGGCTATGCCCATGCCTTTTCCTAGCAATAGTGGAGGGCCTGTGTATATATTTCTTCTACCTGTGACCTTCTCACTGGATAGAGCAGATAAGCAGTTTAGAGGAATTTGTGTGTAGTGATTTTACACAAAATATTATTATTAAGTTATACTACATATTAATATCACCTAACATTATGTATATGATTATTTACATACTAACCCACAACCAGTAAGTCATCACAAAGTGTTGTGACGCCTGCCACCAGTTTGAGTTATAGAAGCAGAAAAACTATACCACAACTTGAGTACCTGAGAATCCTTTTTCATACACCTGTGCTGAGTTTTACCTAATGGCTGGAGCTCATTAATGATAACTGATTATTAAAAAGCTGTGGTCATTGAGAGGCACTGACTCTAAGCAGAGGAAACGTTTCACTAAAGCAAGATTACAGATGCTGAATACAGCCTTGGTCAAATGAAAACTTCTTTTCTAGCCCCCTGTAAATTATTCTTTTTTTGATTAAACATAAAGTCTTCCTACTTGAGTGTCTAGGCCTCACATGATAAAGGGAATGTTAGGTTAACCTGACAAAATGGTATCAGGAATGGAGTGATGGTAGGGAATCTGGGTCTAGAACCAGGTGGGCACTGTCTAATTTCGTAGTTTCTCGCAGCCTTGTCTTCTTTATCAGAAAGGACAGGCTGAACCAAGAGATTTTCAGTGGGTGTTGTTGAAAGTGAACACAAATTTCTCTGTGGAAATTCAACCAAAATGAGGGCCGGATGGTATCCTCCAGGCATGTAGCGGATGCGTGATGTGCATATTTTAGCACAGAGACCTTGAAACGTGAGTGTTCTCTTTTCACTACCAACTCATCTTGGGTTTGGACACTGAATGGGTGCTTGGTAAAAGGTCCTTTGTTCCTGATGGTGCCTCTTGGGCCTCCGATCAGCTAGATGCTTGCTTCGAATAGCTTCTCTTTTTCCTTTGAGAAGCGAGGATGTATCTAGATGGAATCATCCACACTTGCCTGCACTCTCCTCTTACAGTAGATGCTAGGGTGTGTGTGTACGTCTCCAGCGAGCAGAGCTCTTTCAGGGGGACTGTTGCCTAGTGGTTAAGAATGTAAGCTCTGAAATGGGAGTCCTTTGGTTCCTGTTTTCATACTACTATTCATTTGCTGTGTGACCTCAGGCCAGTCACTGAATCTCTGGACCTTAGCCTTTTCAAATACGAAGTGGAGAAATCCTTGACTCTACCTCCTAATGTTAGAAGTGTAGAGCATTTAGAACAAATGTCTGATACATAGTAAAAGCTCCATAACGGACAACTGTTCTCATTTTATTACTGCGTAATATGGGGAGTGGACCTATGACCTAGATCTCATCATAACCCTGTTGTGACCATCCGTTAGGATAATTTGAGAGGGAAAGTGGATGGCACTCCCAAAAACCCCTCTGTGCAGGAAAGATGGCATTTCAACCATTCCTTGGAGACTGATGTTTATGCTACTCTTACAGTTCTTTGGGGAATAAAATTACCTCTCGTTTTCACTAGCCTAATTCAATGTCTGACAACTTCCCTCACTCAGGAAGTTATTCTTTCTGTGTGACTTAATTGCCTATTGCAGTTTCTGTTTGGGGTGAAGGAAAGGATAGTGGATCTGACTCTGAGATAAAGGGTCTACTGAAAACACTCCAACACTCCCTTTCTGCAAGCTGGTGCAGGGCTCGGCTAGAGTGCTGTGAGACCCCCAGGGGTTCTCTGTGCATGTCTGCAGGGATTCCAGGAGGGATGGTGGATAGCAGCCTGGGGCAGCCAGGACCTGCAAATCCCTGGCTCAGCACTCCCACCCCTACTGTCACCTGAGCTGTGTCATGTGTACACTTCTCCGTACTTGCATGAGAAGTTACACCAAGAACAAGGGTTCAGCAGGTACAAGAAACTTTTGAAAACCTGGAGGCCAGTGTACATCCCTGATAAGCCAGCTGACATGACCTGTCCCTTGGCAGCTGACTCTGTTGCTTTTTATGTTGGCCCTTCTGCGCTATTCGTTTGAAAGCAGCAACACTGTGTGTGTGTGTGTGTGTGTGTGTGTGTGTGTGTGTGTGTGTGTGCGCATGCACATACATGCATGTGCACTTGTGCTCCCTAGCTCCCAGTGATGGTGGGAGAAGGAGGAAAATGGGAAAGTTTGTGGGGAGAGGAACTTTATAAATCCAAGATACAACTATTATGAGGCAGGAAAAAGCTCCCTTTAATGTGTTAGAAGGAATAATCTTGACCCAACCAAATGCGGGTGGGACCCCTGGGAATTAATAGGGGGGCTTTCATATCTAGGCTATAATCTGGGGTAGCTTAGATTGAAGCCTAAGGTTGAGAATGGTACCACTTGGCACACCCTCATCTAATGAAATAGATTTGAGGGGAGATTGGCCAAAATAAAAGGAATGGATACAAAGTGTGCACAAAGATTTATGCCTGCTGAGTGCCATGCAGCAATGGGCTGGCGTGGCCTTCCATCCAATCCCTGCCCGGGTGGCTGTCAAAGTGAGGTGCTCAGTCTTGCCAAGCATTGTATCCTCACCTCTGATAGACAAAACTGAGTGGTGTCCTGGTTTTTAAGTAATGGCCTCAGAGGATGGCTTGGAGCACACGGTTAGGGGATGGGTCTCAGTCCCTTGAGCTGTAGTAAGACTGGGAGCATACTCAGGATGGAGGGACTGGGAACGAAGCCATCTCCTACAGCAAAAGTGACACAAAAACTCAAATTCAAATGGTGAGATTCCTCTGCATGCTTGGTTGAAAATTCTTGATAGATGTAAACCTTTGGATCTGTCGATGGTCTTCGCCTGCCTGGGGCAGGTCCTCCAAGGAGACATCTAAGGTCAGGCTGAGGGTAGCCTTGATTCCACCTGGCTCGCTTATTAGGGACTTAACACGGTTACCCCCCTTAGTCCTCATCCCCACCCTGAGAGGCTAAGTGGTATCCTTTCCATTATACAGATGAGGAATCTGAGGTTTCCAATTTTCAGGACTCACTAATTGTGAGTGGAGCCAGAGTTAGAATTTATACATGATTGACTTTAAGATGTGAGAGAGGAAGAAACCGGATGCCATTCTGCTACTAAAAATTGGCCTGAACCCATATTTACATGTAGCAGATTTGACTTAACAAACTAACCCTCTCCCCTATTTCTACAGCTGAAATGATATACACACACGCATACACACAAAATCACAAAGGCTTCTTTCTTCAAATTGTTTGCTGAGCCAGAAGCAGCCATGGATCATGGAATTGAAATGATGTGCTGGTCATCCTGGCTCCATTTTTCTCTCACCTTAAACACCAATCCCAGCAGGCAGTCTCCCTGCTGCTGAGTGATGCTTGCTGGAGGTCCTCACTGCCCCTGAATGAATGAATGAATGAGTGGAGTGGTTGGTGGTAGGGGGAGGGGCAGGGCCTCCCTGGGACCAAGCTCTCCGTCTCCCTGCATCCACCTGCTGTCCTCTCTTCCCAGGGCGGCATGATTGCTCTGCTGCTGTCCATCCTGTGCCTGGTAATGATCCTGTACACTCGCCGGCGCTGGTGCAAGCGCCGCCGGGTCCCCCAGCCCCAGAAGAGTGCCAGTGCTGAGGCAGCCAATGAGATTCACTACATTCCATCTGTGCTGATCGGCGGGCATGGGCGGGAGAGTCTGCGCAATGCCCGCGTGCAGGGCCACAACTCCAGCGGCACCCTGAGCATCCGGGAGACACCCATCCTGGATGGCTATGAGTACGACATCACAGACCTGCGCCACCACCTGCAGAGGGAGTGCATGAATGGAGGGGAGGACTTTGCCAGCCAGGCCACTCGCACCCTGGACTCCCTGCAAGGCTGCAACGAGAAGGCTGGGATGGACCTCACACCAGGTGGGCGACTGGATCCTGCCTTGTCTCGGGCAGCTAGGGTATGGGTAGTGCACAGCTGTTTTCTAATTTCATGGCTGGTTGTCACACATAATGGGATGTGCCCGGGCCCTTTCCCAGGTGGGCAAAGAGCAAGCTTTTTCCTGAGATGATGGGAGCTGTTTTCCAATATCAGAAATCAGAAGAACTAGTACAAATTGGATCCCTCTCCACTTCCACTTTGCACTGGAAGCAGAGACTTTCACATCCAACAGAAGAGTGGGTTAGAGCCTTTTTCATATATAATGAGCAATCCTCAAGGAAATAAGAAATAGCAAGAAAGATCAAATGTGTGTATGACATTTTTATATATAGTATGTTTGCTTAGGCGATTTAATTTCCCACCAAAGAGGAGGGCATGGAGGTATCTGTTCTTTTTCATGCCTCTGGAGCCTTTGACCTGGGGGTTTTTGTTTTGTTTTGCCCATGCCTCTGTGGTCTTTACAAGGGATGTACTTCTTCAAAGGAAATGAAGGAAAGCAATCAAGCTCTAGGACTCAGATACTTCGTGTGTCTGTGAGATGCTTGGTGGAAGAAACTTGGGCCTAATTCTGACAAAAAAAGACCAGGGTCCACAAAATGCAGAGAGGAAACGATTGTACTACTCTCTTGCATTAGCCCACTTGTCTCTCTCTCTCTCTCAAACTTCTATAAATAAGTAACTGCCCATAGATAAAACCCCAAGGTAGGGATCCTCCAAATAACTTCTTAATTATCTTTGAAGAAGACATTTTTGATACTGAATATTGCTTAAGGTACATGGACTTTCATTTGGGCTTGACAAAAGGGAAATCACATCACAGAGGTTTCCATTTTCCATGTTATTTGGAAGAGATCCTGTATGATTTCTACTAGCCACTTCTTAATAGGCTCTAAAATCTGAGAACGAACTCCTTGACAACAGGGAATATCTCATATTCCTCACAACAGCTGGCACAGCGCTAAGCCCACCAAGTAGCCGTATGATACTCAAGGGTGACAGATGCGTTCAGGGAGAGGCGATAGCACAAGTATCTGAAATAGCTGAATATGAGACATAGGGGATAGTGCAGACTGGGATTGGATGTAAGAGGCCATGTTCTGCCTGAATGCACTCAAATTCCAATTCTTTTAAAACTCTTTGCTGACCCAGAGAAAGAAATCTGCAGTCCATATCTAGCCTAAGGATCACATGTAGTGACCTTAGTAATATAGAATTAGCAGAACTAGATTTTCAGTTATAGTCACTCTTACTTCACCCCTCCCATAACTGTAGTCCTCTGGAAATCCATGAGGGGTATTTCAGCCTCTGCCAATCTCTCACTGTAAAGGTTCCTTATTTCAATTCTGCAAAACTCCATTTGCTCGGTGCACACAGATTTCTTTGTTCTTGCTTTCTTGGGCCTTGTCTCTGAAAGTTTTGGCCTTGACTTTTCCTCATGCAGGAAGTGACAATGCCAAGCTGTCGCTGATGAACAAGTACAAAGATAACATCATCGCCACCAGCCCTGTGGACTCCAACCACCAGCAGGCCACCCTGCTCTCCCACACCTCCAGCAGCCAGAGGAAAAGGGTCAGCAACAAAGCAAGAGGTACCCACGCCTGATGTTAGCGCTTGAAGGTGGATCCCTTAATATTGAGAGGCAGGGCCGTTAACACCCTTAACCCCCACTCACAGGCATGGTGGGGGGGGTACGACTTCATACAGTCTTTCTGGAGACCTGTTGAGTGTTACTTACTAAAAACCTTAAATATACGAACAAACCTTTTGACCAAGTAATTTCATCAACAAGACTTAATCCTTTGGAAATAATTGGACAAGTGTGCAAAGATATGTGTAAAAGGCTGTTCATCACAACACTGTTTAAAAGAGTGAAAAATTGGAAATAGCTTAAGTGTCCATCAATAGGGAATTGGTTAACTACCAGCACATCTGTCTCCTGTCCAGTGGCTTACCATGCAGCCATGTAAGATGATAATGTAGATCTGTTTATTAACATGGAAGGTTGCCTACCCATCTATTAAATGGAAAAAAATGAGGTTATAAAACAGAAAGGGCAGCAGGATGCCCCCTTTTTTTTTGGAGATTTAAAAACCTTTCTCTGTTTCTGTATCAGAAAATGACAGAGAATATATATGCCAAATGTTAACACAGTTTTTCTCTGATTTAGAGGATATCAGGATGGTTTCTTTTACACATTTTTGTGTATTTTTTTAATTCTTTTATCTTTTTCACATTGAACATATATGGGTTCTAGAACCAGAAAAAACAAACACGTACTATCCTGTAGATATGAACACATACAGGCATATGCTCCTTAAGACACAATTCCCGTCTCATGTCTGATGACCTGTAATGAGGGAAATGTCCCTTTCTTCCTTTCCCACTTACCATCCAGAGGGGCCCTCTCTGCTGGTAGCTGCCCGGGTTGGCCCTCCTGGGAGGAGCAGGGCTGGGTGGAGCTAGGGCCCTGGTGATTGCTGTCATACAAAGACCTATGTCTCCATCAAGCCTGTCCTTCAGAAGCTCCTGTCCCCTGGGCTACTCCCAGACTGTCAGTCCACCTGCTCTCACTCTGAGGAGTTTTTCTCTTGCGTTTGCTGAGTGGTGATTTGGTGTCACAAACACAAAGCTGAAGATGTTGTCTTTGCTGTGTCCCTTTTACTGCAGCTGGTTCTGCCTTCCTGAACCCTGAAGGGGATTCTGGCACAGAGGCAGAAAATGACCCACAGCTGACCTTTTACACCGACCCCTCAAGGAGCCGGAGGCGCAGCAGAGGTGGGAAGGGTGGAGGGCGGGGTGGGGTGAAGGGGTGCTGGGGAGGGGAAGGCAGGGGGCTGTGGAGGAGCTGGTGGCGCAGGGTCTCTGTGGACCAAAGGCAGATTCTGCTGGAAGAATTCTTGGACCACAGTTGGTGTTTTCTCCTAAGGAAGAAAGAAGAACCTAGAGTGGAAGTTTTCAGAGAATCATCTCTCCCAGATAATGGCTCTCTCAAACAAGTTTCCAAATTGTTTGAAAGGCTATTTCTTGGTCAGAAGACTCTCAATTCCTTCTGGAAGCCTCAGGAGTCATATTTTGCTGTTTAGACATAGGAAGTAAAGTTGATAAAGTAGGTTATACATGAAGAAATGGATAGTGTGTATACCCTTGCTTATCCAGCCATACTGAATTTGAGATTGGGCGAGGCAGGGGCAGGGGGAGGCTGAGAGGTTGAGGAACTGGGTGTGTAATGGTTTTTGGCCTGTGATCCCCTCCTCGGAGAATCACAGGACCACAAGCTGCCAAGGCCCCTCCTTTCTCCTGGCAGGGCCGGATTAGTTAATTCATTCTCCTCATCCGTAGAGTTGTCCTTTCGTGCAGCCCCTACCCCTGCCACTCCACCCTGACGTTTAGTGGCTTCACGTGTGGCTCTTGTAGCTGTAGCAGCCACTGCCCATGATTCTGCTGGTATCACCTCCACTGAGCAAGGTCTGGGTTCAAGCACTGATCAGTGTCACCGGTTACTTGCTCTGTGATATTGGATGAGGACCACAACTTCTCTGAGCCTCAATTCCCTCACCTACTAAATGGGTTAACAATATCTACAAATGGGACTCCTGCCAGGATCACAGTCAATTAAAATGAGCTTCTTTGGTGACTGGCAAAGCACTGCGCAGCCCCTTTTGTTGCCATTCGAACACCCCGCAGTGTGGCCTTAGGTTTCTGTAGCACTCTGTCTTAGAGAATTTTGCATAGGGGCCCTTGAAATAAAATGGACAATCTCTGAGTGGCATCGCCTTGTGTCCTACTCAGTAGCATTTTCCCAACCAGTAATCCACCAGTGTCCCCAGAAAAGGCACCCATGTTTTGGCTCTCCCCTATCTCCACCTGAGGTCCTTTCATACTGAAGGCATTCACCCCAGAGACTGAGAGAAGCCCTCAGAATTCTCCAGCTCCAGTCTTTGTAGGCTTTGCTGCCATCAGTACAAAAGTTCTTCCCACCATTTTTCTCAAGAGATCAGTGAGGCTCTGGGCAGCCTAATGTCTGAAGATCAGTATCTCTGAGGTGAGAGTGTGGTTCCCTTGATTCTTATTATATATTTTTCTCCAGCAGATAAATCAGCTAGGCCCATCCAGTCTAGGTCCACCAAACTGGGTGTGTTCTGCTTTAATTAAATCCTGTTTAAAAAAATCCATTGTAATGAATTAGAATGAGTTTCTTTGTAGCATTACATTATTCCTTTTGGATTCTATGCTTTCCTAGTACATCGACTGTTTATTGCTGTTAACTAGATACAAGCTTCTTAGGGATGGGCATGTCTCATTTATTTTTCCAAAGTGCCTAGTGGAAGATTTTTGCCTCCAATACATGCTTGAAAGTGTTGGTTGAATCCAACTGAATATATTAACCAGGTCAGGAAGAAATTTTATAACCCTCCTGCCACGGGCCAGACTTTGTTGATAGACAGAAACATGAAAATATAGCACAGTGATGAGGCTTAATTTAATAAAATAAATAAAGTAAAATGTGTACTCAGACGGGAGATAGTTAATTCTGTCAGGCAGCCTAAGAGGCAAAAAAGCAGTACAACATTAGACTTGGGCTATAGATCAGTGTATAGAATTTCTAGAAAGAGGAAAATCTAAGGTCAGGTCATTCCAGAAGAGGAACATAGCATAGAGAAAGTCTTAAAGGCTCAAAAGAACATGGTATTTTCAAGCCAAAAAGTGGTTCAACACGGCAGCTTTAATCTGGGATATAAATACATAGGCACATGGGGCTAGTTGAGATGGAGCTGGGTAGCTGGGTAGACCAGCTACCAAAGGGCCGTACATGTGCCCTGCTACTGAGTTTGCACCTGGTTCTGCAGGTCTTAGAGAACGCTGGGAATTTTGAAGCCAGGTAGAGATGCTGAATAATGGGTTGATGATGGCAGAAGGATCAGCAAGAGCAGAGATGGGGAGTAAGTTATTGCAGTCAGGTGACAGACGTGGCAAGCACCCGAAAATAGTGATGACACTGTGTGATAACGGCTGTACCAGCGGGGAGCACCAAGGGCTACAGGAGCAGCAAGGAATGAGTGAGAATCTGTTCTTGAAGGTTCTAGGGAAGTGTTTGCAGGGAGATGTTGTTTGAGCCGAGACTTGAAGAGTAGGTGTTCACTGGGCTGACAAGGTGACAAAATGGCATTCTGTGGAGGAGGAAATGAAATGTGCAAAGTCACATAGGTATGAACAATAATGGTCTAGCCAGAGAGCAGTAAATAGTTTACTAGGAGGGAGCTTATGTTGCAGGTTTGCGGTTTGCTTAGGAAATAAGGCTGAGAGATCAGGAGGGAATATGTGATCTTGACCAAAAGACCTGGAGTGGACACTTCAGCTGGCGTCACTGGGGGCATTTAAGAGATTGCTCTGGTCCCTCTGCTTCCTGTGGATGGGGGAGGATGGGGGAGGGAGGCTAGGTGGATGCCAACTGCCTCAGTCCAGGTGTGAGATGATGGGCGTAGGGAAGGGTGGAGAGAACGGAGGCAAGATAATTTTGGATGCAAAATGAAAAAGGTTTCATGGCATCCGTGGTGGGGAGGCTGTGGCTTATGAAAGATAGGGAAGAGTTAGAAGTGATGGCATTGGGGACTTGAGGAGCCAAGTAGATGGCCGTGCCATTCATGGGGCAATGGACATAGGAGGGAGCAGGGCCAGGAGGCAGGCTGAGGGCCAGCCCGGCCAGCCCAGGATATTGCGTCTGATTGCCTGAGGTGCCTTCTGGTGGTAAATCTGCTACCGAGACCTGGTCTGGGCTGGAGGTAGGGGTTTGTGAGTGTGGGTAAATAGACTCCATGTTGAAAGTTTACTAACATGAACAGGCTGTCTCCAGGTAGCAAGGGACAGAGGAGCTGTAGGCTGCCTGCCAGCTACTGCCAACACACCACTCAGGCAGCCTGCCTCCAGAAAGGACGGGTGCAGCCGTGGGCCAAGCACCTTCCCTGTGTTCCTGACAACAGCAGTTCTGCACATTCCACTGGGCCCAAAGATTGAATAGCACATTGTCTGGGGAGCTGTTTCTGCACCTGGACCTGCACCTTGATCTGTGCTGTACCCCTTAGTAGCTGCTTGATCCTGGACATGCCCTACAGCCTGTCTAACTCACTGTCCCTCTGTGGGGGCTGCCTCATCAGACTGTGGTCACCATTAAGTGATACGAACCATGTAAAACCCTGAGCAGTGGTGCTCACATGTAATCACACTTCATAAGTGCTAACTGTCACTATGATGTTAATCTCTTTGAGACTTGCTTTCCTTAACTGTAAAGTGGGTACTGTACGGACCCAGAGACTTTTTGTAAGGAAGCAAACATTAAAAATAAATCATGTATGTGAAACACTGAGCACACCGTTCTGATATAATAGATGCTTCTCTCGCTATCAGTAATAAATATTGAGAAATACTGGGGGAACTGGCTGGGAGAGTGCCCTCTGTGAAGAGCGGTAGGAGATGCAGGCAATTCAAGCTCCTGCTTAAAACATTCCTGCCACCCTTGGGCAAGAGGATGGAGCTCAGCCAGGCAGACAGAGGGGGAGCATGCCCCAGGGCCTTTATGATTTTGCTTGTAAACCTGGCCCGAGAAGAGCATGCAAGACTTGCACCCAGCTGCCCATTGTTGACCCTGAAGCCACCTGTAGGCCAAGTCCCCTCAGATTCTAACAATGAAGATGAAGGTCACTGAGGTCAGGTAGCCACAGATGCTTCCGGCCCGGGTAAAGTTTGCAACTGCCTCCCCTGTGTGCTGGGTTGAACAGCAAAAGACCAAGTTGGCCTTTCCCTGCTGAGATTTTTTACCACTATGTGTCTTGCTTTTGTCTTGTTTTCAGTGGGCTCTCCTCGCAGTCCTGTGAATAAAACCACCTTGACCTTGATCAGCATCACCAGCTGCATGATTGGCCTCGTGTGTTCCTCCCACGTCAGCTGCCCTCTCGTTGTCAAAATCACCCTGCACGTCCCTGAGCACCTGATTGCCGACGGTGAGCCCACTTCTGAGGATGCAGCTTCCTCCCCAAATAGGAAGGCTTCAGGTTGGGCAAGGAAGATACAGAGAGGCGGGGGTCTCTAGTACCTGTTACTGTAATTGAGGGGAAAAAAGAAACCCAGAGTTGTCTACAGATGAAATCAGAAAGCGGGTTAAAAAACAGCAACCCCAGAGGATCACCTCCTTTTCTCCAGGCCTACTCCCGTTTCCCACTTCGGCTTGATTTTAAATAAGCCCCTATCTTTGTAGAGAAATGCAGAGCATACAGGTATGTAGACACCAAGATTCTTAGAGCTTTCGGGCGGAAAGAAGCTGAGTGGAGTAGCAGAGGCATTGAAGGATCAGCCATGCTTCGGTTCAGTATGCCCACATAAGACATTCCTAATTGCAGTAACTTGCTATGAGCCTAGAACTCTGAAGCAATAATTTACTTTCATCCAGAGGCACCCCAATATAATGAGGGAGAAATACAGGTTCTGAGAGTCCCTGAATTAGTTAAGCTCAGAGCACCTGATTGGTGTGTTAATGTCTGCTTTCTCAGGTTGCTGTAAGGCTGAAAACAGGTGGAGACTGTCTGAGATGCTAAAGGCCTGCTATTTCAGGACAAGTGAAGACATGCAGCGGGTCCCTGCTCCTGGGATGCATGCCAGTGGTGGGGTCTGGTGGAGCCATGCCATGGCCATCACAGAGCTGCTCTGTCCCTGTGTCCCTTAGGTCCCCTCTGGTGGAGTTGGGATGGGGCAAGGAAGCAGGGGATGATGGCGGGAGGTCCAAGTGCTGGCCAGCCTCCATCTGCTGATCTCCTGCTCAGGGATTCTTGGTGGGCCAGGACAGGTGGGAGTAATGGCCTCAGATCGGGGCTAATCTACAGGGCGTCCCTGACTGCATCTTCAGTGACATGTGTATGTGTTGTATGCACACATGGGCATGCCTTGTTTCTGTCCCCCTGCAGGGAGTCGCTTCATCTTGCTGGAGGGGAGCCAGCTGGATGCCAGTGACTGGCTGAACCCTGCCCAAGTGGTGCTCTTCTCCCAACAGAACTCCAGTGGGCCTTGGGCCATGGACCTCTGTGCTCGGCGGCTCCTGGACCCCTGTGAACACCAGTGTGACCCCGAAACTGGTAGGCAGGAGCACCGGGCAGCGGGTAACTGTCAGAGTTCATGCCTCTTGCAATCACCCGTCGAAACCCAGGCCATCCTTCCAGATTGTCCCATTGTCCCTGGGAGCCTGGATTGCGCAAGCTGCCACCCTGTTCATGTTGGCTTAAATTGTGGGGCCATCTTTTTGCAGAAGCATTGGAAGCTTCCTAACTATAGCCCCATGCCAGACAGATGAGTTTAGGATGACCTCCGCAGCCCATTTGCCATCTAGTCAGGGATTATCAACCATCAGGGCTAGACTTCTTATGCATGTTTATTGTAGAAAATCTGGAGTATTTAGAAGAATTTATAGAAGAAAAGGATAATAATCTATAATTCTATCTCCTGGAGAAATCATTTTAAACTATAATGTCCTCCTTTCTGATCTTTTATCGATGCATGGTTTTTAGAAGCTTATAAACACACTAAGTCCAGTAAAGTTTTCTTGATTTTTTTCACTTAACATTTTATCATGCAAGTTTTCTGGAACCATTAAGTAACCCTCAATAACAGTTTTAAAGGCTATTTGTTATTCCACTGTATGTCTACATAGCTCATTTAAATAGTCCACTATTGTTTGACATTTAGGATGCTTTAAATTTTTAATTTTTACAAAATGCTACTAAAATGACTATCTTCCCACATAAATGCAGGGTACATTTTAAAAGTTGTTTTCTTCAGATAAATCTTAGAAGAAAGATTTCTGGGCCAAAGAGTGTAGACATCTCCAGGCTGTCAGAGTATCAGATGGGGCTAGGGCTCCTCTGAGAGAGGGTTCCCAACTCGGATGGCGTGCACTGGGCCACTCACAATGCTTCTTGGGCTCCAGGACATCCAGGAGAGTGGATTTCTCATTGCATGTGGCTTGGCACTTCCATTGCAGAAGGAGTTCATCTACAATAGTCTTTTTAGGACCTGTTTCCAGTAGATGCAGTACCACAGACAGATCCTTCTCCCAGAAGCAGTACGATGCCTTAGAGCAAAGCCAGAGCAGGCAGTGGCTTCTCAGACCCAAGTGAAAGGTTGCTAGAGCTGGGGACCAACACCTCCAGCTTTCTGTGCCTCATGTATGGCCTCGACTCCACCATATGCACATGCGCACACACACACCCCTGCAGATGCATTGTCCTCAGGTGCCGGGGTGGAGGGACATCAGTAGAAGTTGAATCCACGAGGTTATTACTCCTGTTCTAATCCAATACTCTATCTCTCTGGGGGAGGGACAGGTAACTGCCATATCTAAAGTTCACCTTCTTAGGTCTCAAAGTTGTTTCTACCTGGGTCCATCACAGAGATTCTAGACCCCCACATGGAGGAGAAAGTACCGTGTTTTAAACATCTGATGCCTAAGACTGTGCTTACTTGCTGTTTCTCCCATGCTGTCAGGCAAACACCAAACTGAACAGATGGGTTGTGCACCATGCCCAAAGGCAGTGTGCTTGGGAGAAAGAAAAGCGAGCTCATCGCAGAGGCGGGGCCTCTCCGTGCAACTGAGCTAGTCTCTGGTTCCCCGCTGACTTGGCTCAGGAGACCCTGGGACCATCTCAGTTGTTAAATGCACTTCTGAGACAAGTGTGATTTCCAGAGAGCCTTGGAAGCTGCTACTGAGGTTTTAAAGGACAGGAAGCACTTGTAATTGCCCATGGAAAGGAGGGATTTGTGTTTCAAGCTTGGAGGAATTACAGAGCTAAACTGCCTCCTTACTTTAGAGCAATGCTCAGATTCCCTGAGGAGTTGCATGACTTACCCAAAGTCCCACAGCTTCCTCAGGCAGAGTAAGCATCCTGTCCATCATGAAATCAGAGCAAAGGTGGGATAAAGGATTGCTTAATTTCCCCAGACATGGCAGATCCAACACATTTGTCATCTAAAATGATTTAAGCAGCCACCGTTACTGAGCGTCACAGCTTCTGGGGCCAAGAGCTGAGGAGGCAGCTGGTTCCCAGTGAAGCTGCCATCACCTCTCCAGTCCCTTCCAGATGTCTCATTTCTAGTCCTTGCTGAAAATGACTTTGAGAAGCCCCTCCCCTATGAGTGACTACCCAATATCTATGACAATTAATGAATTTCCAACTGGAAAACTAAAGGGGGGGAGACTAAAAATAGAACCCAAACCCCACAAAAGAACTAGGGTGCAACATCTTCATTTGAGCTAACATCTGAGAAATGATGCTGCAGAGACTTCTTTTCATTAATGCTGGAATTGGACACCTTCCCGCCTAGCCCTGCTTTTGCACATGGGATGATGTGGTCATCCCACACGCTCATCAGTAAGAAACTTTATCGCCTCCCACACTCCATCCTAGAGCCTTTCTCCAAAGAGCTGAGTGTGGGAATTGGCTGCAAGTCAAGTAGACGTTATTTTTGCATTCCTCCAGCTAACTCAGTTGGAAATGTCATAGCACTGGGACATGTGCTTTCCCAGCCATGCTGAGGGGTCTGTCCATATGGATGTGTGGAACTGTGCAAGTGCACGTGTATACTTTCTCATACACACACACACACACACACACACACACACACACACACACACACACTCACACAGTGGCTCCATGACTGCAAAGGAGCAACCTTGGGTGCCCGGCATGCTCCCCAGGCATCCTTCCAAAGTGTTCCACAGTTAAGTGTCACACCCTCAGAGTGGTTGGGATACCAAGTGTGTTAGGCAGAATAATTGGCCCTCCGGAGATGTTCATGTCCTAATCCCCAGGACCTGTGAATATGTTAAGTTATGTGGCAAAGGTGACTTATATTTGCAGATAGGATTAAGGTTGCTAAATAAGTGGCTTTAAGGTAAAGAGATGATCCTGGCTTAACCAGCTGGGCCCAGTGTAATCATAAGTCTCCTTAAATGTGAAAGAGGGAGGCAGAAGAGGTGGCCAGAGTGGTGTGGAAAGAGAAGGACCCCAGCAGTCACTGCCGGCTTTGGGGGTGGAGGAAGAGGGCACAAACCAGCGAATGTGGGTGGTTTCCAGAGGGTGGAAAAAGCCAGGAAATAGATTCTCCCCTCAAGCCTCCAGAAAGGAACATAGCTCTTGTAGACACCATGTTTATAGCCCAGTGAGACTCATGTCAGACTTCTGACCTACAGAACTGCAAGATAATAAATGTCTGTTGTTTTAAACCACTAAGTTTGTGGTGGCGTTTTATGGCAGCTGTAGAAGGCTAATACACCAGGGAAGAAAGAAAAGGACAGAGGAAGAACAGGCATTGTTAGGTGACTCTTTATTTCTCCCCAGCCCTGTTTATAGAGGGTGTGTGAGGAAGCTAGAGACTAACTGCAGCTGGAAGAAACCTTTTGCTCTGTTTTCCATTCCAGCTTCCCTTTTACATGTTTGCACCATGCTCTCTGTGGGGGGGATGTAATGTACCCAAAGCTTTTAGCCGAATGCCTGGAAGCCCTTTGCCAACTGCACACTGATATTGTTTCCCAGATCCTCCCAGGTTTGCAGCCCTAAGTGTGTCTCCCATCAAGTAGGAGTAACAGCAAACCGCTAAGGTTGTATGGTTTAATGCCTCAACTGGGTCCAGCCAGAGGTTGACTTTTCCTAAACTTTCTAAGGTTTTTGTTGTGCTTGCATGTTGGTTTGATTGTTTGGTAGGAACACAGACTAACTAGTTTCAGTCACTTCGGTCTCCACTCCATTCCTGGTCTCTTTCCTGCCATAGGGGCAGCTGTGGAGGCTGTACAGACCTGCTTCATTTCGCAGCCTCCATCAATCCTGGCCACAGACCCTCACTGCCCTTTTCAAGAAATGTAGCTTTTATGGGTGTACAAGGAGCACAGACTTCCAAGCTAAATCAAGTTTTAATTGCCATCCAAGATGTTCACTGAAATTCCTTCTGTCCCACATCTTTCCATAGTCCAGTCCCAACTGTGTAGAAATGTGTGAAGTCTGGTGAGCAGCATAGGACCAGTTTTCTAGACACGGTTGAACCTTACTCCCCTTTCCTTGCTCTGAGCCATTACCTCTTTCTCTCTAGCCTTTCCCAGTCTTTCAAACCCTATCTGGCAGCATAGCACAGCTCCCATTTTGTTCCTGCCACGTGGATTACCCACCCATTCCAAACTTCCGTTTGTGCTTGACTGAAGCACCTTCCTTCAGGATGTATTTTTGGCATATTTCCCTCTCTCTGCCCCCGCCAGAGTCACATGGGGCTGTTTGACCCTCGGGCCTGCCACTTGCCCAGGGGAGGAGACCAGGCAGTTGGATATTACCCAGAACTGTATGTCTTACAAAGATTTCCCTTTTTGGGTGAAGTGCACCCAATTCCATTTAACAGATGCCAACAGCTACTGAAGGATAGAGGTGACTCAGGGCTTTTGACCTTGATCTGTATTTACCTCATGAAGAACTTCTGAAGAATTTACCTCATGAGTAAGTCATGTCTGAGGAGCCCTGGCTTCAAGGTCTTCTCTTCCATGAGTTTTGTACCCTCGGTTCCTCCGCAGAACAGGAGATAACTGAAGGTACTGCCTACCACACAAGGTCCCTCAAGAAGCCTGCCTTAAGGAAGCCAAGAACTAATGAAGTGGAGCCACCTCTGGGCCCTGCATGGATCAATTCTTGGTGGGCTCCCACTCCCAGGCAGTGTGGCTGCCCCTGAGTGTCTCCTGCAGGGCACACTCCATCCCGGTTGGGCACTTCTCTGTGGCCGTGACATGTCTCTCCATTGAATTCTTATGAACACCACCACAGAGTCGGCACGTCATGTGTTCCCCGCCATCTGTCATGGCAGATGCAGAGACTGTAACACTTCTAGCTTAGGAGGGCATCCAACACCCTCGTGGGGTCTTTAAAATTCACAGCTAACAGTCGGAGCCTGTGCTCGCATGAAACCCCTCTTCAAGTCAAGATTTAGCAGTTGGTTGCCATAGCAACTCTCCTCATCAAGGCTGAACTCCTTTCAGTGTAGATGGCCAAACCGGTTTTGAGGAGGAATACAGAAGAGGGAAGTTTAGTAGGTTCTAGAAAAGATCATTTGAGAGGCAAATTTTGGAGATCCTAAAACTCTAGCCTGATATGTTTGAACATTTCTCTGTTGCTCTGACTGTGGGCTGCAGCTGACATTCTATGGGGAAAAGCTTTATCTGTTTCCGGCAGTGTGTCCCCACACAGTAATGAATGATGGAAACCTCATAAGGAGATAATGACTATGAAGGCAATTTGAGAAAGGCAAATGTGCTCTACAAATGGTAGGTATGGCCATCATTAGGAAAATCAGGCTCTGCTTGAAATCCGAGTTGTTACTGCATTTATTTTTACATATTTTGTGGTAACAAGATATCAAATGTGGAAAAAAGACTCCTTTTTTTGTCAGTCCTTATTTCTAGGCAAGGCATCCAGCTGAGACCATTCTAAGAATTTGAGTGATGGGTTTGCCAACCTCTTGACGTTACTTCCTGTTTTTTAATATCATACTCATGCTAATGTCCACAAGGAGACCATCCCTTTAAGGGAGAAGCCTCTCGGGCTCTTGGCCCATTAATTGGCTCAGATACCTACATCTTAGAGAGCGGTGGTGGTCGTGCTATCCATAAACTTAGGGCCAACTCTTTAATTGATCATTTATTTTTCATCACACAATATTTATAAAATCCCTACTCCTATGAGGGGAGGAAACCAGCCTTGTTCCTGCCCTTGTGTAGCTTATAGTCTAGAGTCTGTCCATGTTTTCTTTGGAATTGATAAGGGATGAAGCCCGGTCCTAGTGCTTTCCATCTTTTGCTTTTCTTTGGTTAACTGCCTTCTTTATCTTTCCTTCTATCAGAAAAACAGGCTTCCTCTGAAAGCCTTATCCTAAACTACCTAATTTTAAGCTGTGTTTTCCTGTGTTTAACTGGTAGCTCCCTGATCATTCTTAGACAGTTCAGCCCACAGAAGCCAGTAAATTTGAGTCTATTGGGAATCTAGCCCAGGTGGAAGCCTGAATTTGTCATACAGGAGACAAAGTACTGTTCTAATATTTTCTGTGGCTTCCCCCCACCAAATTAAGAAGTTACTCATGTTCCCTCCCCTCCTTAGTGTATTGAGCTGAGCAGGTGTGGGGGAAGAAAAGGAGTGTTACCTGATAGTGAGGCCCTGGTGGGCAGGAGCTTACAAGGTCAGGCCTGAAAGGAATGGCTGAACGGGGATCCTAACAAAGAACTCCTGGCTGAGAGCCTACCCACTTCCTTCCCCAGCTGTGAGGCTCCTTCACTTCATTTTACTGGTTTTTATCTTTGAAAAAAGAAAAGAGCACTCAGCTATTATCCTGTCTATATCCTTTTTTAAATGTCTCTTCCTAGGAGATAAACTCTATGCCCCTGTCTCTTTATGGCAGGGCACCTTTGTTATTTACACATTCCTGGAAGTCACACCCTGTCGCTTCTTCACCATCTACAAATTAAATAACCAGCCAGGGAAAGAGTCAGTACTAGTGCTGTGTGGAACTGGCCTCAGCCATTCGAGGATACGTAGCGTCACCTAAGGAATTATTAATATAAGGAAGCAGCAACAGTTTTCTTCAATATCAGTGCTAAGTAGAACAATGATTCTTAATCTTTTGGAGGTCTTGGATTTGCTAACTCAGATGAATGTCAGGGAACCCTGCCATGGAAAGATGCACATACATGCATTCGGTTCCAGAGGGGTCATGGACCTCTTAGTATACTAATGGAGTAACTAATGATAATGAAGCATAATAATATTCTAAACAAATATGGAATTGTAGTGATTGTTCAGCTCCAAGATAATTAGCCATTTTCAACTAAAAATGAAAACCCAGAGTTCCTATAAAACTATAATAAGTATAAGTGACCTTCTCTAAATATAGTAGTTGTGCTGTGGGCCAGCAGTATGGCATAGTGGGAAAATGGTCCGGAGCCCAACAGACATAGGTTCAAATACTACCTCTGCCATTTACAAACTGTCCCCAGATGCCTAATTTTTTCTGAGCCTTAGTTTCCCCCATCACCACAGCACAGCTAGTAATACCTGCTTTTCAAGTTTCTTATAAATATTTGATGAAATAACTCCTTGTCTGGTCTTTAAACATTTACCTGATATGTGCCTTGCAGTATACTGGGCACTGAGAAGATGAAAATTAAAAAGTCCCTTTGCTCAAGGACCTCTCAGTCTTTGTGTTTATAAAGCACACATAATACGTGCATTGTAAGGGTTAGCTTCCTCCTCTCATGAAAATTATCCTGTAGTTCGGTGGTGTGTTCATGCACGTGGGCACTGGAGATGGGAGCGTATGACATGATGGTGTTAATTGTCTCAGCCATGCCGTTATTGGAGTCAGAGTTTAATCTGATCACTCATTTCATATTCATTTTCTCAAACACAGACATGTTAATCAACCCTGTGTTTCCTGCTCTTCTTCCTTGCCCTCCTTCTAAGGGGAATGCCTCTGCTACGAAGGCTACATGAAGGATCCAGTCCACAAGCACCTCTGCATTCGGAATGAATGGGGGACAAACCAGGGGTAAGTGAGGGGATGGCAAGTTCACTGGTTCCCAGATGTCACTGCTTCCTCACACAGACACGATGCAGAGCTGCTGCGCGTAGAGGAACACAGCGAAAGCTCACGGGTGGCTATATTCTGAACAGTGAGTGGGTAAAAATGTCACTGTGCAGTTCCATATTTATATCATTCCAATGACGTCCATATCATCTTTTTCTCCATTTACTGAGTTCAGGGATGATGCCTCTGACTCGCAGCCCCGCAGCCTCCAGCTGGGATCTGAAAATCAAGCTGTCCCTCTCTTCCTTTTCATCCTGCTGCCAGCCACCAGGATTCCACAGGAAGAACTTAGCTCATGATTGTGTTGGGGACACATGAAGCCACACAGACTCCCATGTAGCACTCCCAGATCTTGATGAGCTTTGTGAGATTGACATGAGCAGATACTTGTTTTCACCAGGGTTGCCGGCGAGGAGACTCGGAGAGTGCTGGGTGCAGAGTAATCGGATCTCCAATTAGCGTTTCTCTGGGAGACCTTTGCTTTCTCCTATGTACACATGACTGGGATAAAAACAAGTTACCTTGTCTGTTGCTTTTTTATTTTTATTTTTTACATTTTTCTGACTCATGCTGAAATAAAATCATACATGACACATTTACCATTTTAACCCTTTTAAGTGCATAGTTCAATGACATTAAGTGCATTCACATTATTGTGCAAACATCACTGCTATCCATCTTTTGTTACTCTTCAAAAGCAGCTTTCTACTTTGCTGTGGGTGCTGAGAGCTTGCTTTCTGCTTTGGCTGGGTCGTGGTGGAGGGTGGGAGAAGAAAGGGATCGAAAAACCATAAGTAGTAATAGCAATCAATGGAACAGGGAAAACTAGAAAGAAATCAAGGCACAGCCATCTTGGAGTGATCGCTTGGACTGCAGATTAGAACTGTATTTGCAGCCTGACAAGATAGAAAAAAGAAAACACCATCATTTCACACATTGCCATGGAGGGCTCATATGCCAGGGTCAGTGATCAGCCCTCTGTGTGATTCTGATGAGACCAAGTCTAGAATATTTAATGCAGTTCCGGACTCTCAATGCAATGAATATGGAGACAAATGGGTGAGAGTTTGGAGGAGAGCAATAAAAATGATCAAAGAGCCTACGGGAGTGATTTATGATGAAGGAATTGAAGAACTCAACTTGGCCAGCTGATGACTAAGTCAAGATATGATAGATACTATAGACATTAGAAGAGGGCAGATGTTCTGGAACAGGTTGAGGTTGAGGGATAAGGACAAGAGAGAATGGA